CTGGCCTCCGCCCTGGCTTCATTTGAACTGTCCAGAGGAGTGTTTGTCTCCGCCCTCGCATTCCCCTGGGTGCCCTGGGCTGTCTCGCCTTTCTGCACTCGGCACACTTACGCTTGGCTTGTCTCCACTTGGCGAGCTCAAAAGTCCAGGAAACGTTCCTTTGTCTTTCTTATGTACTCAGCTCACTCACCTCTCCTCCTGCTCATACCTAACTAACCTGCCTAGTCTAACATAAATGCACCTGAATATAATAGAATGCTTCTCCATCCGCACCTCTTTGTTCAATTTCCCCAGTTTCTGTCCGTCTTTACACTTGCTGTTATTAATCGAGTTGAGTTTGGAAGGCAAGCCACCTTAAAAACGATCTGCAAGAGCTTTGGGGTTGCAATTCCAAGTTCCGCCACCAGGTGGCGGTGGCACGTTGAGCTCAGCCTTCAGTATCCCAGTGCCCACGGAGAGCTAACCTATATAACGTGTCAGACGCTGCCCTGGGAGCCATGCCCACGTGATCTCATTTTATCCTGCAATGGCCCTGGTATTAACATCCCCATTTTACAGATGAGAAGACTGAAACTCCGAGAGGCTAAATAACCCGCCCAAGGTCCAACCACTCATAAGAAGCTGAATTCGAGTTTTGAACCCAGACCTGGCTGCTTTAAAAGCCCACACTGTTCCCATTGAGCTTTCCTGGGGGCTGGAGGGTTTCCTGAAATGCCCTTTTATTTTATGCCACCTTTTCTTCTAGTTTAATGCTCCACACGGTTTGCCCTCCAATCAAGGCCCTGTCTTGTTCCTGTCTGGTCACACAGCTGGTCTTTGTGGTGTGGCTAGCCCTTCTTACCCTGAGTCACCTCCTTGGCATAAACTATGAGGTGTGGCCCACGGGGTCCACCACAAATGTCAGAGACACTCCTATTACTCAGGAAATTCCACAGCTTTAGAGGATTCCTTCAAGGAGCTGGGACAAATCCAGACCTCTGTTAGTGTGAAGTTAATTCTTCACTACGCACATCTCTATGGCAAAATAGTCTCCTGGGACCACTTGTTCTAACACTCCACGATGTCTCATAGACCAGTGGCATAACACTAAGGATGGTTCAGAAAAATCTTAACACTGCTTACATGTTGATGAACTATGTTTATAGTCAAAACAATGTGGCCAAGGCATGAGAGTCTTTAGATCAAGCCAGGGGTAAATTTAGAGTATTTAATGGGTTTGCTCTGCTTTATGCCCTAGGAGCAAATTTCCATTAATAGTATTTCTCTCAGCTAAGCTGTTGAGAGTTATTGGGTAAGTCTACACCCCTTTGTAACCACTGGAGAACAGATACTTTGTGTTCTCCCTAAGCATCAAGACCTGAGCCTTGAGGGTTGAGCCAGCTGGGTGACAGTGGTGTTCTCTGGTGAAGGAGGATGGGTACCTAGAGGGGCCCTCCTCCCCCAACCAAATACCAAGCTTTGGGGTACCCCTGGCACCTGAATGGACTAAAAATGTTTCTCTCTCAAAAATCCATAGGTATATTTCAAATTAGCAGCATTCTTACTGCCAAGAGAACGTGTCGGCTTTACGTTTAAGTTGTAATACTTTGGCAATTAAAGTTATTCAAAACTCTTTTAAGCTCTGGGAAACCTTAAAACTGTGAATGAAGCGTTGTGCGTGTTGTTGTTGTTTTTAAGTAGCAACCATTGAAACTGAATAAACTTTGATGGGTCTTTGAAAGCATCACTACGAAGGTGAAAAGAGGGAGATGTAATCATCATTGATTGGATCCATTTCATACACTCAGATCTATTCCCGGCTGGATATGGTCATTATTTAAGTGGCATCTGTGAAGTAAAATAGAATATTAAGCCCTCCAGCCGACTGAGTGGACCCCCTCTTGGCCAAGGAGATGCCAGGAAACCTTTAAAGCGGAGTTGCCAGCTGTATAGCCCTGGAATTTTCTGCCCCTAGGACACCCTGGGATAAGTTGGCAAACTCTGGCTTCAGGATGGAACCAGAGAATCCAAAAGAACAGCTATAGCATCAAGCATATAAATATTGACTATCACATACATATAAGGTGCTATGTAAGTGACAAAAGCCCCGGGAACAGAGACCTCTGAGGCTGCCCATGTTAATTCCTGCAGTCAACACAAGACATGCCACCCAGATAAAGGAAAAGCTTGCAGCCCAGCTTCAGGAAATCTGGTCAGCGGGCAGCCTCTAATTGTCAGCCACTTCAGGGTTAGCCTCAGCTGCAGAGGGCTGCTGCCTCGATGGAGGTCCCAGCTTCCTGGAAGATTCAGCACCTGGTGACTGAGTGAGGCCCACATACAAAAGTTTAGTGCACTTGGAATGACTTCATTCCTTTCTCCTGAGTCCCTCAGGCTATGTGAGGCCAGGGAGGACTGAACTCTGACCTTCTTTTTTTTCTCTTGTACAAATTCCTTTCTAAGAGGCCTGCTGAGTCATGCCTACAAATGATTAACTCTCATTCAATGGGTTTTTATTAACCCAGTATAATATGGCTTACTTTCCAACCTGATTCTGGTATAGCATCATATGGCAACTGGAAGACCTCCGTATCTTAACTCAAGCATTCCTTTCTACAGACTCGAAGTGTTTAAACAAAGCTTAACTCTTTCAACCAATTGCCAACTAAAGAACCCCTAAAACCCATCCACACCCATTGATTCATAAGTGGATTAACAAAATGTGGTATTTGTACACCATGGAATACTACCCAGCCATAAAGAAGGGTGACTTATTGCCTTTTGCAACAATCTGGATGGAACTGGGGACCACTATCTTAAGTGAAATATCTAAAGAATGAAAAAACAAACACCACATGTACTCTCTATTACATTGGAACTAACTGATGATCACACATGTGCATGGAGGGAAGTAAAACTCAACAGAAATCAAGTAGTGGGAAGGAGGAAGGACATGATGGGCAAAAACCTACCTAACAGGTACAATGAACACAATCTGGGTGATGGGGACACTTATAGCCATGACTCAAGCATTATAAAAGCAATCCATGTAACCAAAATGATTTGTATTCCTGTAATACTTTGGAAAAAAAAAAAAAAAACCTACCTATGACTTGTAAGACTCCACTTTGAAATGTCCCATCCTTTTCAGACCTAATCAATATCTACCTTCCAAGTATTGGTTTATGGTTTAACCTGTAATTTCTGTCTTCATAAATGGACAAAACCAAATGGTAACCTTACCCCCATGGGCTCACTTTCTCAAGACCTCTTGAGATCACGTTCTCTGGGCCCCAGTCACATAACACATATTCAGCTCAGAATAAACTTCTTTTTAAAATGATGTTACAGAGTTTGGAGTTTTTTTCTGTTAACATGATCATTGCAGATCAGCTTTTTCTTCTGCCCAGGCCTCCTCCTTCTTTATGCAGGTGTTGATCCCTAACAAACATTTGAACCCCAGGCTCTACCTCAGCATCTGCTTCCAGAGAACCCAGCCTCAGTGGTCCCGCTGCCCACAGCCCACAACTTAGAGGAATCCTGAAATGGCACCTGCCCTTGATAGCATTCCTGGGGGATGCTGAGGTGTGCAGAGAATGCAGACTCTCTAATCAATCAACAACAGAAGCCCTTTTAGATAGTCCAGTTTGGGGCACCACCCCCAACTTCTTGTGGATGGACCCAGATATGGGGGGACAAAAGGCCACAGATCTGAATATTTTAAATTATTCTTTGTCATTTAGAAGAACTTCATTGCAGATGGGAAAGGGGGCTCACTACCTGAGGAAAAGGGATGACCCACAGTGACTCCTCACATCAAAATGGCCTCACATCAAAATGACCAGGTTATGGAGCTCAACCTAACACCCGCTCCAGGATCGTCTTATGGTGAGCAGAGAGAAGGGCTCACCACACTCTGGTAGGGAGGACCGAGGACCACTCTAAGTGGACCCGTCCAGCAAATTTCACAAATGCTATTTGAAAAGAGTGCTGATTACATATATTTGAAGGGGGTCACAGTGTTTGCCCAGAAAAATATTTCAGATTTATAAAGGAGTAAAAATGTTGGTACAGGGAGTAAAACGTTAAGGGTCTCATCATCAGTTGATATTCAGATTTTCTTTCCCTAACTACTGACATGAATATTGAATTATTATGGAGGGACTGAACTATTCCTGGATTTAGTCAGGAGACTGAGATCAAAGATTCTGCTCTGGGTCATTTCAGAGGCTCACAGCAATTTATCTGAGCCTGATTCAGCATTTAGTTCATTTTGCCTTGACTCATAATTAGTTGCTTATATATTTATCTCCTCCATGAGGCCATAAAGTCCTTGAGGATAGAGATGTTTTGACTTATTTTGACATCTCACTCCTCCATACCCTATTCCATCCCCAGTGCTTTGTGCCCACTAGATTTGCAATAATTAGAGGAAAAGGTAACAAAGAACAAGGAAAAGTGGCAGAATAGTGAAGACTCAGGTTGTAAGAAAGTATGTTGCAACTGTGCTATATGTTAAAGCCTGGAACAAGTGACATGAAATTGTATCAAAGGAGCTGTAGCCATCCAGTTAGGCAAATCTCTACAATGCCAATATTACTTAGCAAGGCATTGAGATCTTTCAATGGGTCTGAAGATGGTCCTGCCATAAGTTCATTTGAAAAGACAAGAACCTGCTCAAATTATCTACTGAGTTCACATGGCCCAAAGTGGTCCTGGGACACCTGGCATGTTCTGTGGTCCCAGTAGAGAGAGAAGGGGCTAGAGTTGGGTATATTGTAGGCAAATGTCCACATGTTTTTCCAACTCTGACTTCCTCTGGTCAATAGAATGTGTGCACTTCCAGGTACCCAGATACCAGAGGCCCCTTTGGTCTCATTCTCCCATGAAGTCCCTTCCTTTAGCCTTTCTAGCTACCAATATCCTCCTGTCCCTTTTTGGCCACTAAGTTTTCTAGGGCAGAGGTAATTCCATTACTTTTTTAAGCAATGGGTGTGTTAACTTAAAATCATGAGATCTATGAATTTGGAAAGGAGAACTTTATTTCTTATCATTGGTTGCGACTTGCAGACTGGAAAGTAGAATCTGCCACTGAGACCAAAAGCAGGCAGTTTGCCCGGGCAAGAGTGGGATAAGAGTTTTATGCTAAGTGGGTTGGCTAAATATACATATTTAATAGTTTACAACAGATTACAAGAGGATCATAAATATTCATTGTGGGTCATTCACATTCATGATACGCAAACATACTTGTTACAGAGGTTCTATGTTCACTTTGGGGTGGGGACTTAACATTAAAGTGCAGTAAAATTAGGCTCTGTACATCAAAAAGTGAAGCAGAGCACATGAAGGAGCTTCATCTAGAGCCTCCATAAGCTGGCCAGAACCAGTCCATTGTCAGTGGTCATTTATCAGGAAGGAATGCACTGTGAAGCTGGTCAGTTCTCATGTCCAAACAGCAAAAGAGGAAAGGAGTCTGGTTGCAGCATTAGATGGTTGGTTGAAGTCAAGGAGGGGGGAGCTTTCCTTTCTTTGTTGTCCCAAGGCTGGTTTCTGTTTAACTATTAGAAAAGAGATTTGGTATCCATGAGTAAGGAAGGGGGTGTACTGAGGTGTGACTAAGAGGGAATGGCCAATCATGGCTGGGAAACTTAGTTATGTAAAGTTTTCCTGGGGTTTCCTTGGTCAAAAGGGGTCCATTCAGTTAGTTGGGAGGCTAAGGATTTTGTTTTACTTCTACAGATGCATCTAAATTCCAAGATACCATTTCCCCATTAATGTAAAAATACATATATTTCATTAGTAATACATGTTATTTGAAGAAAGAGCACTTTTTATATAAATCATTCCAGACATCTTTTAATACATATATTAATATTGTTTTATATTAGAAAAATATACTTTTTACATAATAATGCATTTAAATCAACTGTCCATGTCAATAGATATACATTGCCATCTTTTTTTATGCCCACAGATAATTCTATCCTATGGATATAGCATAATTTGCTCAGCAAACCTTATTGCTGGCATTTAGACCATTTCCAGTTTTTCACTATTTTGTTCAGCCATTTCTGAAACTGTTGCTAATAGCCTAGAGGAGAAATAATATATCTTCATGGTTCACAGTTTGTGAACACACTTTCACATACATTGTATCATCAAATCATTCTAACAACCAGGGGTGGTAGATATTTTCAGAAATGAGAAGCTTAGGAATGTTGTAACTTTGCCCAAGCTGGGTAGGAAAAGTGTGCCTCATAACAAGCATTTTTACCTCTAAGAAATGTAACTTACACAGAACAAAAGGACAACATGGATGTAAAGATAATTTGATTAAAAATTAATATCTTGCATATTAGCAATTTTAGCCCATTGTGTGGAGCTATTTTGTAATCTTTATTGCAGTTTTAGGGAAATCTGTCAAATTTCTGAGTTCTTTGTAGGCACTTTCAACTCTTTTACCCTTTACTTATAATTCATTCCCAACCAATGACCTTATTTGTAGTTGGAAAATACAGGAACAAACAAAATGTCCAGTCATGGAGGATGTGCTGGATCAACCTAAATATCTTGGCTTCTGTGTGAAAAGTATGGAGAATTTCCCTCTCTTCTCTGTTCACGCAGTGAGCACTCTGGAATGTGAGCTCCCGAGAAGTGCTTGTCCCAGCCTCTGGCCTCACTCATCCAGGCTGAGACAGGGGGCCGTGAGCCACAAGACCATGACAGTGACAGACCCTCAGCTCACAAATGCCCCTTCCTCATTGGTTGATGGGGGAGCAGCCACATGGTGGCTGTATCACTAACACCAAATATTAAGTGCCACATGATGATATGCTTAATAAAAAATTAAGTTGTAAAATGACAAAAACATCCATCTCCTTCCTTTTCCTAACTTAAGCTGTAGACCAAAGCAATCTTTTTTCTTCTAAGTAAGATTTAATATATATTTTCCTTCTCCCCTCTCCTCTCCCCACCCTGCTGCGTGTGTTGCACAAACACACAGCTGTGCACACACACTTGTGAGCACCAGTCCTCGCTTGACAAAAGAGATTTAAAATGAAAAAAGAGGGGAAGGGAGGGTAGAGAGAAAGAAACAAGCTAGCTGGATGGATGTGCCTCCAAATCTCAGGGGTACTGGCTAATGTTAGCGTAGCTTGGAGACGGCCTAATCATTTAATGAAATATAGGGAAGAGAAGAGAAGCATTTGCTATTCTAAAAAACCACAAGTCAGTGAATGCAAATGTGCCCTATTCAGAAAACCAAATTAAAGGAACTACTGGGAATTCTCTGCATAGTTAAACAGAACAATTTCCCCCCCTTTAAGGCCATGTTTACCCTGCAGAAATCACATACCCTTAAGTGGGAAACCTAAAAACGCATCATTTCCAGGAAGGATGTGCTGCTTTAGCCGGGCCCTGTCCTTCAGAGGAAGAAACCTGAAATCCATCGTTGCCCTGGACAGCCCAGCCATGTACTGCAGCTGCAAAGAGAGAAAACGGGCTCCAGGGCTTGTATCTAATTCCTCATGACAGGTGTCTGGGCGGTCAGAGCCTTGCCCTTCCTCTAGCCCAGGAGTCCTCAAACTACGGCCTGCGGGCCACATGCGGCCTGCCAAAGATATTTATCCAGCCCAAGGGGTGTTTTTGCCTCCGCCGCCGCCTGTCCTGCTTAGCAGCCAACTCATCTCGGGCCCACAGTGCGCATGTGTGGAATGTGCGCCACACTCTCTAAAAGCTCTCTAACGGCCCTCAAACGATCTGAGGGACAGTGAACTGGCCCCCTGTTTAAAAAGTTTAAGGACCCCTACACAGCCGCACTCCAACGTGAAGACGGTTCAAGAAATTGAAGACTAAGGAAGCGCCTTCCAAAGCCGACGTCAGGTAACAGGCCAGTGAACGGTTACAGGAGAGCTTGTGGCCCAGTTCTTGAAATTTGTCACTGGGTCAATTGCGAACATTTATTCAAGATGTGTATTCTCTGCTCACATTGCTGGAGGGCTTTTTTCCCAATTGCTCTGTCTCCATCTCCAGCCAGGCCATGTTAGTTTCAGGTAATGGAAATGCCCTCAGCATAGCCCAAGCCAAAAGAGGATCTGTGTGAGGATTCTGAGACCTCATAAGGAAAAAACCCAGAGTGGGAGGTGGTGCATCTGCCCCCATCTGGGGCTCTGCCCCCTGTGTTTGTTCGCCTCCCTGTCTCCATCTCTGAGTCTGCGTCTCTCTCCACGTGGGTTCCTTGTCATGCTCTCTTCACATCCTCCTCTCTGGCAGGAGACTCATTTCCACAGCTCCAGGGGGATTTGTCTTCAATGCTGCTGCAATCAGCTGAGACTGATTCTTCTCTGCTTCTCAGTTCCAGATTCCTAGACGATAGAAACCTGAGAACAAAAAGAACACACTGCCTGCCTTTATGGAATGATAATTTAGTAGAGAGAAACACTTCCCCAAATAGGCACATGAATAGACTAATCACAAAGTGAGAGGCAGTAGTACACAAAAGTAGAGACTGCCATGGAAAAGAATAATAGTGCAGGGGGATTATGAAGATTGGGGGTGTCCTCAGGGAGTGACACTTAGATAGAGCCATGAAAAGGAGTGGGAACTAGCCATTCAATGGGAAGGAGAAGAACATTCCAGGCCAGGGAATGACATGAAAGAAGCCCTGGGGCAGGGAAGAGCTGAGCTTATTTAAGGACCTCACATGGGAAGCTATGAAAGAATTCTAAGCATGTGTATCATTCTGTTTGTTTGTTTTAAAAGATCATTCTGTCTACAGTGTGAACTGATAGAACTAGGTAGCAACAACAGAGTCAGGGAGACCAGTTAGGAGCCCATTTCGGGGGGGGCAGAGGAGAAACTATGCTGGCTTCCTAGTCCAAGGTTACAGGTCACAACAGTGACCAGACTAAAGTTACCTGGGGGTTACATCTCCCCAGGTTTCTGGTCTGAGAAACTGGGCACCTGCAGGTGCCAGCACCCAAGATGGGAAGCCCTGAAGCAGGAGCAGATGGGAGGGGAGGGGACACTGCTCTGCTTTGGACACATTAGGCTTCAGCTGCCTCTGAAACATCAAAGTAGAGTTGAAGACCAGGAAATTGTAATATATAAGAATCTGATGCTCAGAAGAGAGGTCTGACTGAGGATGATTAATTTGAGAGCCATCAGGATAAAAAGTGTTTTTTTTACAAAATCATGGGAATGGATGAGGCCACCCAGGGAGAAATGCAGAGTGAAGTGGGCACAGGGCCTAGGATTGAGCTGGGAAACTCCAACATTTAGAGCTGGGGCAGAGGAAAAGCAGCTAGAAAGGCTGAAAGGGAATGGCTGGAGAGGAAGAACGGAAACATGGCAAGCCCTGTCACATAGCAAGGAAGCAGGAGGTAGGCAGCTGGAGCAGGCGCTGCTGGGAGATCTGGTTGCTTAAACCAACACCAACCCAAGGCCTACTTGTGGAGGTTTAGGCTGGTCAGTGGGCCCTGGCAGGTGTCTACTAGACATAGTGAATGGTGGTACTATCTTTTTCTTTTTTCTTTCCAGTCTCTTCATGTTTTATAACTATTCTGGGTAGACATTTTCCTCTAAATTCCAACTCTAAACTCCATATCCATCCATGCACCCACCCATCCACCCAAGTCCCAGACTGCCCACTAAATAGCATGGCACTCGAGAATACACCAGGAGGAGCCCTCGGTCCTCTTTCCTCTCACTTTCCCTACTGGTTTTTGCTTTCTGACTCTGAAGGAATTGTGCAAGATTTGTATCACGTACATATAATGATATCCATTCTGGCATTTGGTCTTGGTAAAGCACCTCGGATCCCAGTTTAATTATGTTGAGTTAGTAGTACTAATAATAGAGATAATAATAACACCATGATTGGAACAATCTCCCTTTTAATGAAGAGAAAGAATATTTCTAGCTTCCAAATTACCCACATTGTGTTTTCGCACAGTCTAGATTGCCTCTAACCCATTTAAGACCACTTTCCCTCAGTTAACTCAGTTCCTTTCAACATTTGCATTTTTTTCCAGCCTGTCAGCATGAAAAACTCTTATGTAGTGGTGCCTTAAAGGTCAGTGTAGTACCGTCATAAAGACTGATGAGACTGTTTTCTCAAAAGACAGATCTGTTGTGTTGCTCTTGGTGGTGAGCCTCGTTGTCTTCTTGCAGCAGATGCCCTGTCCTGGCTTCCCCAGCGCCCCTGCCCACGGCGGACTTCTTCCATGACCTCTGTCACCATTGGAACCGCAGGTTCTCCCTTTCTCGGGTAGGTCCATTTCTCCTGCTACCAGTCGGACTTAGTTGTTATGTATCATTTATCTATCCAGGTTTGGAATGACAGTAGATTTCACATGAACTTCCCCACATAGATTCACATACTCCCGAATGAACTTCTGTGGCACAAATGATAAAATAAGGCATTACCAGTCCTTCCTCAAACCTTCTATTGAGTCGAAATCTACCTACCACCAGTTTCTTTTCTTTCCCTAGACTGTTTCAAAGTGACTTAATGGTCCTTTCACTCTGGGCCATTTGTAGCTCCTTGACCTCTCTACTTGCCTGGCCTCTCTGCCACTTACCTGGTTCCAACAATGCTCAGTCCATCCTAGATTTTCAAGACCTGAGGCCACCCTTTATCTTTCTTCAAGGCAGCCTGTCCCATAGGACTCAGATTTTTTAACATTCTCCTTCCCCTAAACCCTGAGCCAACTCCATCAGCAGATTGCCTCGCAACCATGTTAGAAGCAGGTAGGGTACCATCATTGGATGCACTTTAAAATAGACTAAGCACATAAATCCTTAGTCTATAGATAGACTTCATCAGCTTGTGTTTGCTGTGGCAGGTGATGAATTAGGGCGATTCACCTTCCAGCAAGTGAGGGTTGTTAACACTGCAAGGGCTCTGCCAAAAAAAGAGGTTGCCGAGTGTCTTTCCCTGGGGTCTTTCAAAATGAAATGAACTTTCCTCAGATGATTTAGGGGGACAGATCAGATGACTTTTCAAAATTCCTTCCAGTGTTGAGTTTCTACTATTCATCTCTCCCCAACTCTGCCCTGGAATTGCAGGAACAGGAGGGTTGCGCTGTGATGGATACCACTCATCCTCCCCGCTTTGTGTTCTCTGTCGCTCTGATTTTATTGATGGGTGAGGTGGACTTCTTGTAAATCTATCAAAAAGATATCTGAAGCATACCCTGGGGGTACATATTGAATCTAAGAACCTGCTGTCCTTCTGTTTCTTTCCCCAAATACCAACTGTGCATCTGTTCCCACACTTGACCACGTATTGGATTTGCTGATTTTCTTTGCTTATGTTCAGCTTTCCAAGTTTTGAGGGAATGAGCCCTTCTCTGAGGCATACAAAGTCTCCTGAGACATCATTAATCCATGGAATTCTTCATTTGACAGAGTAACTAGGAACCCAGAAGTGTATTCCTATGAAGCCTCTTGAATGTAAAAGCTAAAGAGGATTGATTGACCCTCACCCTCTCACTCAGCGCAGGTGCATTGCGTGGATTAACGTGGTGTGTGCCACTCAAGCCATTCACTTGCTCCACAAACATTAGCAAGCACCCATTAGGTGCTAAGCTCAGTGGCAGGGAGACTCCCAAAGCCATAGTGTTGATGGCATAGCAGTGAGTACAGCTACCTTTCCATGACACAGCATGCTGTACAACAAAGGAGGGAGAGAGTTTCAGGAAGGTGGGTGAAAGCCTGGATTCTGGAGCCAGACAGACCTAGGCTTCTACCCAACCCGGCTTCACTACTTTGCAGCTGTGCGACTTTACACATTTCCAAACCCCCAGTAAGCCTTGGTTTCTTCCTCTGTGAAATGAAGATAAATGTAAAGTTGTTGCGAGGATTAAGTGAACAAATGAATGTGAAATGTTTGACCAGTGTCCAGAGTGCATTAAACATGTAATGACTACTCCTAGCCCCTCGATTCAGCTGGACGATTTTGTGGAAGGCACATCTCAGTGCCTGGCTGCATTGAAAAAGAAAAAAACAAAAACACAGTTTCTCCCCCAGAAAGCCTTGGAACCAACGTCTTGTCTGCAAGTGTCATAAAGAGGTGAAGAGACTGCATTGCACAGTTGAGAGCAAGCAGGGCTCCCCAACAATTCTCTTTCCTCTTCTCCCTGCCCCAAATACCACTCCTTGTGCAATGACCCCCACTCTCCACCTTCCATAAGTCCTTCTCGCCTCCTACCCCAGCCACCTGGCTCCCACACTCCTCCTCACTCCCAGCACACCTCCAGCACACCCCATCCCACCTTCCCACAACCAAGAAGCCTCCTACAGAAGCAGTCCTCAGTTTGCTTTTATGATGTCTTTGCATGATTTTTAAACATGCAAGGCATTTATCAGCATTTCTAAGGATTGTGGAGGCTGTTAGCTTGAGGGAAGTAATTTTTCCCACTTGTATTTAGGAAAAAAAACCAAAACCTTGAGTTTAAGGGGAAAAAAATCTACAGGAGAATCTGAAAGGATGGAGGAGGAAGCAGGAGAAAGTGGAAAGCAAGGTTTTTCTCCTCTTTGCAAGAGATAATGAGTACCTGTCCTTCCAAAGCAGGAGGGAATAACTGCTCAGTAGATTCACCCTGGAAGGAAAGAAAGGACACTAATTGCACGCACTTCAGTGGTTCAGAGTCTGTGGTTCTTTCCTCTTTACCATCACTGAGGGAGCGAGAGCGGGGCTTTCTGCAGAATGCAGTGGGGTCCTCTACACCTCCCTCCACTTGGGAACACAGAAGGAGGCACACATCCCCTACCCAGGCAGAAAATGCAGAAACACACTCTCAGGCCAGTCTGACTTCCCCCAAATCACACAGCATCCCTGAAGAGGAACAAAGCATTCGAGGACCCGGATACAAAACAAAGCTGGTGTGTGGTGTGGAGCTGCCCACAGAGAGGAACTGAGGCACAAAATTACAACTTGAGGAAAACTTACATAGCAAGAGCCAGATTTAAATCCAGAGCTCCTGGGTTTGGTCTGGCCCCTGTGAGAGCGGGTGTCCACAGGTGCAGTCAGCAACAGCTCTCTGGTACATTAGACGAGCCCTTCTCCATTAACCTTGGCTATGTGTGTCATCAGATATACTTTAAAGTGGACAGAGGGTAGGAGCGTGAAGTCAATTGAGTGCGGTCTGTATGCCAGGAGCCTGATGTCTGTCCTTTTACTGAACTCTCAGGGTGAGGTAGGTGCTATTTTTCTCTTTTTATAGATGAAGAAATTAAAGCTGAATGTTTTCAAAACAACTTGCTTAAGTTTCAACAACCAAGAAGAAGCAGAGTCAGGATTTAAAGCCAGATTCATCTGATTCCAAAGTATCTATTTTCCCATAACTCCATACATTCATTCTTCCCCATTTTCAGGGTTTCACACTACAATTAAAGCCTCACTTACCTCATGGAAAAACTTTACATGTTCCTAAATTAAGGCTTGATAGAGAGACCCCCCCAAAATCATTTTCCATTAATAAGTAATTAATAATTAATAATAAGTTCCATTTTCCATTAAAAAGTGACAGATAGGTTAATTAGCTTGATTTAATCCATCCACAATGTAAACATATATCAAGACATCACCTTGTACCCCATCAACATATACAATTATTATTTGTCAATCAAAAATTAAATTAAAAAATCATTTTCATGGAAAAAAAATCACATAAACCCAACTCAATTAAAATCATCCATCTACCCATTGCTCAAAAACCTGGACACACTCTCCTACTTTCAATCTCTGGCTTTACTATTTCCTGGGCATGTTCAGAATGGACAAATGACCACAACATCTGACATACAAGTCAAATATAATTTTCCTGTAAATGGAGGAGGAAATCTCTTTCTGAGATTGCAGTGGTCTGAGTCTCACCTCTGCACAGGCTCAGAGCAGCTTAAGACCATTCACTGAGGCAGCCATAGTGCCCTAAATGCATACTGAATGATTGTGCATTTGAATGCTGTCATTCACCATTTCAGGAGCCGAAATGAATGTATCTGTATAACTTTTTTCACAAAATATAGAATCACAGCAAATGAACCTTCTCCCTCTCCTCTAAAACACGTTGCCTAAATGTGCTCCTTTGTTCGCAGACTTAATGAACTCTCCTCACTGTCGGGTGAAGGACCAAAGAGAAAAAAAAATCTTTGATTAAAAAGAGAGAAGAAGAGTCATTTAATCACTACCCTCCTAGTCTGAGAAGTCTGTCTAGAGTGTCTGACTTGGGCTTTCTTTCAAGAAAGGGACTTCTTAACTAGAACTTAGCTTTTTTCTTTTTATATTTCTAATTTGACCTACTCAAATGGCATCTGGGTCTATGAGGAGATGGGAGGGAGGGTCTCAAAGAGAAGGAATAATTGCAAAATTATTTGACTTGAGGGAAGTCTATAGGCTGTAGAATATTTGTTATTTTGTCATTTCTTCTGTAATTCACAGTCATAAGTAGGGCTAAGAAGGCTGGCCCTTACTCCCTGAGCTGCTAGGCAGAGTAAAGCCATCTGCAAAAACAAAGCAAAGCATCAACTCTGAATGTGCAAGGCAATGTTCACTTTAGGTAGAGAAAAAAGCAACTGCAAGTATTGCTTTCTCTCCATCACACCAGCCTCAAAATATCTCTGGGGGTCTTTTTTCTGTGGCTGATCCATCCTGGATTCTCCTTGGCCAAATGATCAACCCTAAACTCCCTGCCACTGAAAAAAAGTGGTTCCAGAGACTCCCCACACAGTCATCAGCACATCACGACCTCATTTCCCAGAATGTCACATGTGGTTTTGCTTCTCAAATTTCGTGCTCAAACTTTCCTGTGAGGCCTCCAGCCAAGGACTGCGTCTGCCTCCTCCAGCTCCCCATATTGCTGTCTGGCATATTGTTGACTCTGTATTAATGACAAAAATAAAAATGATGCTGACACCAGCCAATAAAGGAACTAGATGGGGAAACCTCTGAATCCTCTTGATGCATCAGCAAATTGCAAGTTGAAGACAACCATTGAAAACTTAGGTTGGAAAACACATTAGCAGCCATATATATGGCCATTAAGAATCTTAACCAGATGGAAGGCACAAAAAGCATAGCAGCAAAGCACCTCTTCCGCTCTCCCAGCTACTTGGAACAGCAAAACTCACAACCAGTTGAAGCATATATTGTGCAAACAGCCCATGCCAGAGACTTCAGGTACCTGTAATTAGAGGAAGAGGGGAGTTGGCCCAGATTTATAGATTTCCTATAATGAGATCATTACTTTATACACTTATCCAATTCTGCAATGAAGAGTTTCTTTCTAATCCCATTATGACTTTCTACGAGTTACTTCAATGTACAAGGCTAGGAGTTTACAGACATAAAACTTGGATTCTGGTAGGACATAGATGACCAAAGAAAGCTCTGAGAATTCAGGAGCTCTGGATTTAAATCTGGCTCTTGCCATGTAAGTTTTCCTCAAGTTGTAATTTTGTGCCTCAGTTCCTCTCTGTAAATTGGATAGGAGAGGTATAATGGTATACTAATGTATACCTAAGACTATTGAAACAGTGAGAATTTTGAGAGATTAAAAACATGCTGCAGATATAAACTACACATGCAGTTTATAAGGTTTCTTAATTTGAGAAACCCAAGGTACGTCAAAAAAATTCATTTTGTTAATATTCACTGAGCATATGCTGTGAATAGCCAGGAAATGATGTCAGTGCTGGTGATACAGCAGTGAACAGACCAAGTCCCTGTCCTTAAGGAGCTTACATGCAAGTCAGAGGGGATAGAAGAAAAACATTAACATAATATGAACACAATATAATAATCTGTGGTATTGGTAAGTGTGAAAGTTGTCAGAATCAAAATGGAGTCACTAATGTTAAAAAAAGCACTGACAAATAGAGCTGGGAAAGCCATGAAGAAAGGGTTTTCATACTTATATGCCTGATAACAAAATTCATCACAAAAGACTGTAAAAACCATAACCTCATACCCTTGCACACAGAACATTGCAAACTTACACAATAAATACTTCTACAAGGACATCTGCCTCGCAATTGCCTGTCAACTTTGGACTGGTGTCACCCTTGTTATTGATTTTTGTAGCCAAGGACAATCATTTCAAAACAATTACATAATCCTCCTCATTTTTTTCCTTTAAAAACCTTTGTCTACCTTTACCTTCCTGAATACACACATAGCTTACTATGGCATGCACATTTCCATTGCAGTACTCTGCTACCAAATAAATACCTTTTCTTTTAGAGAGCCTCTCTCTGTCATTTAAGTTGGCATAGTATGCCTAAAAGTAGAGTAAGGAGCTAGAGAGTGATGGAGAGGGGAGGGTGCTGCTATTTTAGGCCAGGTGACCAGGTACAGTCTCTCTAACAAGTTGGCATTTGAGCAGAATCTGAATGAAGTGAGGAAGTGAGATGTGGGTATTGAGGAAGGAACATTCCAAGGAGAAGGAACAGCAAAATGCAAAGGCTCACCCATCTCTCAGTATCATAATCAGAAAAGGGACGAAGATTTGCCTCCTCAAACAGAGATTGAGAAAGCTGAGGCCCAGAGAAAGGGGAGACCTGGGCAAATCCTAAACTACTGCTTCCAATCCCTGAAACGGGAGTTCTGGTTTCCATTTGGCAAAAGAGACTGAGGTTTTGCTTGTTTCTTTGTTTGTTTGTTTTTCCACAGTCTGGACAGGGGCAGAGTCAAGATGTGGCAGGTCTGGCTGCAGTCCCACCTATTCTGTCAGTGCTCTGGTCTGAATATTTTTGTCCCTCCAAAATTCATATGTTGAAATCCTGGCACCCAAGGTGATGGTGTGAGGAGATGGGGTCTTTGGGAGGTGAGTAGGTCATGAAGTAGAGCCCTCGTGAATGAGATTAGTGCCCTTTTAAAAGAGCCCCTGGGGAACTCCTTTGCTCTTCCACCACATGAGGACCCAAAAGGAAGGTGCTGTCTATGAATCAGTCTATGAACTGAATCTGCCGGCACCTTGATTTTAGACTTTCCAGCTTCAAGAAGTGTGAGAAATAAGTTTCTGTTGTTTATAAGCCACCTACTGTATGGTATTTTGTGGTAGCAACCTGAACAGACTAAGATAGTTGAAAACCCGAAACTATGTTAAAAGCCAAGCTACAGCAGCTTTCCACTGTTTTCTCAGACCCATATTTCTCTGACTGTGAAAATCCTTCTGCTTTTTTTCTGTAAAATGGGGATTGAATTGTGTGTGCCACTGAAAATGGCAGCAGGAAGCTCTGGAAGTAGTCTTATTTGTACAAAGCAACACCATTCTCCACCTACACCATGCCTGTGAGTGGGCAGCAGGCAAAACAAAGCCAGGGCCCTGTACATTATACACAAAGTGCCCATTACACTCTCACTAAATATTATTTTTTGCAAAGGCTCTAGCTAAATTACAATCCACTTTACAGTCTGAATGCACCTCGTTGTAGTGTGTACATTATACTTAGCCACAAAATGTTTTAAGGTTTCTTGGGTTGGGAATAGGTATAAAATTACAGTCCATTATTATTATAAATTTCTTTTCATTACTCTTTGTTATGTTTCTTAGCCCTAACCAAAGTAATTCTTACTCTGCTGACTGTTTACAACCTTCAGCTATAAGTGGATGGTCCCCGAGTTCCTCCAGATCATCATTTACTGAGCTCCAGCTATTCAGCTCTTTTAATCTTTCTTCATAAATCAAGTTGTCCTTCTCCATCATTCTTGTTGCTTTTCCCCTAACACTCACCCCATTTGTCTGTACCTGGCTGGTAATTAGGTGCTCAGAGCTGAGCACAGCCTTCCAGGTGGGGTCTCAGCAGAGTCGTCTGTTTCTCCAAGCGGTGCTTAGCAGATCCATTTCCATTTCCTCCTGGGCCCCACATTTCAATCCAGACAGAGCCAAGCTAAAGAGAGCACAAAGGAGAACAACACACAATGTTACCCAGGCCCAGAAAATAGGTCCTAGGAGGAAGATACAGAGCTGGGCTGTGTTCCATTTTGGGCCCAGGAGCAGTCACAGGAAGAGAAGATATGAAGAGGGCAGGGAGTAATTTTCTCCTCCATCTTCAGTAACGGGGAAAGAACAGGTTTTATGCTGCAGTAGAAACACTTTGTCTTAAACGTTATAAAAACCTGCATAGGGCTGAGCTTTCTAGGATTTCTTTCTTTCCAGAAGTCACCAGAAGCTTCCTTTACAGTGAGGTGACAGTCAAGGTGGAGCCTTCCATCCCAGGGGCATGCTGAGGCCACAACCCAGAAACTTGCTCTGTCCTGCCCACGTTCCCTCCCCTCTGACATGCTCCTTTTCTTTCCCAAGTCACAGAAAGGGGCGCTTTCCTAGCTACTCACCCACAGTGACCTAGAAGGGATTCATTTTCTCCTTAGTGGGTTCATGAAAGAGAAAAAATCACAATCAGCAGACAGCTTGTATGGATTCATGTGAATCAGTCACACCTCTCTGGCAATTTTGTTAGCTTAGTTTTTGCTCCTCTCATGTATCTACTCCAGACTCAAACGTAACACTTATCATAGAGTAGGCAACTGGCAGACACTTAGGAGATGGCCCCAAACAGTGGATTAGCATGTTTTTAAACCAGAAGCCCTGAGTTTGTTGTCTGGTGCTCCTATCAGCAGCTACGTGATTTTGGGGTAGGTAACAACCATTTTGGGCCTCAGTTTCCTCATATATAATACATCTCATTGGGGTTTTATCATATGTAAGTGAGAGAACATAAGTAAAGCCCTTGACATATAACAGGCATTGATACTAAGTTTGTTTTGGACCCCTGCAGGGAAAACCTATAATGGCAACTGGCTCTGGTAGACCTCACAATTTTTCAACATTTCCGTAATCATCTCTACTTAGGGAAAGTAACTGTTTGGAGAAAAAAATTCAAATAATGCAGTTCGTCTAATCCATTAGCAAGACAGCATAGACGTTCATAACCTAGCTTTGATCTGCGATTTGGAGAAAGGAATTTCCAAACACTTGAGGGATCATTTCTCTCCCTTGATGTGATGTTGGAATTTAACTCCTATTAACTATAACAGGCATAATGAGTTGGCAGCCAGGGGAACGTACCCTCTAGTGCTTAATGAACACAAAATAAAACATTTCCTTTTATCTTCAACATCTACCAGAGTGATTTGAATAATGATATTCATATTCATAACACATAAGACCCTTCCATCAGTTCAGTATTGTCACTAAGGCTCCTATGGAATGCCAATAAGTACGCAGAGATCTTTTAATGATGTTGTGCTATGGAAGATGCTTCTGCAAGTGGATTATGAGATCCCAGGTCAATGAGGCAGATGAAAGGCAAAGGACATTCTACAAGTAGCTGCATCTTCCCATTCAATGGAACTGAGTGACCTTGAAGTGATAACTTTCAAATAGAAGACAAATCACCTTTAACAGAGCAGGGACACTGCCACCTGACTGGATGACAGTGGGGCAGAGGCAATATTGAAGGCCATTCCCCCAAACATGAGGTTCTGCAATTTGCCCATCTGGGCCTAGAAGGGACAGATTTGGAGGTTTGAAAAGGAGAAGAGGGTAGGTTGGGAAGGTTCAGGCTATACTATAGTCCCAAATGGGACATGAGATAATCGGTACAGGGGAGCATCTCTCTCTTCCATTACATCTGTGAGCTCCTTGAGGCAAAAGACTATGTCTTATGTGTCCTTATATTCTCACCTCTTAGCACAGGGCTTGGTGCATAGAGGGCTGACAGTTTCAAAGCATTCACTATGCACCAAGCACTGAGTTAAGCATTTTACTTCGTATCATCTTATTCATTCCTCATTACAAGTCTATGAGGAAAGGAGGTATTATTATTATTATTTCCTTTTTATAGATTACAAACCTGAGTTTGGTTTAGAGAATCCTAAAAACTTACCCAAGGTCTCCCAGTAAATGTCACAGCTGAGACTAGAACCCAGTTCTGTCTGGCACCATAACTTACAATCTGATGCTCAATAAAATGTTTACTTAACAGCACTGGCTCAGTGGTGAGGTCAGTATGGGCAAAGGCTGTGTGACCTTTATACATGAGTCATGGATTAAGTCTAGAGGAAGCATGCAATGGTTCCACAGCAGGGATTGGCAAACTATTTCTTTGAAGGGCCAGATAGTAAATATTTAAGGCTTTATCACAACTACTCTGCTATCGTAGCACAAAAGCCAGCCATAGAAAATATGTAAATAAATGGGTATCGCTGGGGTCCAATAAAACTTTATTTATAAAGACGGGCAGTTGGCAGACTCTGCTGTCCCTCTCCATGGCTTGCCAGCCCCTGCTCTGCAGTGTCTCGCCCACAAAAACCAATGGCTACATTAAGTTGGGGAAGACAGTGTGCAATTTGACATCCTATCAGTCAGGGTTCCAGGAGGAAACAGATAATATACTCAAAAGGTTCAGTAAAGAGAGTTTTCGAAGATGCTTTCTACAGAAATGCATACGGGGTTAAGAAAACCAACAAAGAGCAGTGAAACATCCAGGAACTAGCTAAAGTAGGATGTGGTTACCAAACCTAAGCCTGAAGGGACAAATGGAGGGAACATTATTATTGGAAGCTAGCATGAGTTACATGCTGGGGAGACGGGCTTCTATCAGGAATTATGGCCCTAGGTAGAAAGATGGAGCTGGTGCTAGAAACATGGCCCAGAGGGACAAGGAACAAGAGGAATAATGACCCCATGCTCTCTGTTCCTGCCTTCTGTTCTCCTGGATGGTGCCTTCTACTTACCAAACTCAACTAGAAGCCAGAGAGCAAGAGAGCCTTGGGTGATGTGCTCCAAAGAGATGGGACTCTCAGAGCTCAAAACAGCACCGAGACAGACAGGTGGAAAATGGACCTGGAGGGACAATGAAGAATAATCTGCAAGATTTTCTATGACAAAATTAAGCATTACTATTCTATTGAGCGGCTGACTAGTTTTTATAAATCAACCAACAGTTTGCTAAACCTACCTTTCCCCATCTTTTCGGGGCCAAGAAACTAGAGAAGGGCTATTTTCTGGGCAAAGTGGTAGCAGTCCTACAGAGAGTAGCTCTTTTCAGAGAATATCCTCACAGTTTCCTACCCAGTTTTGTTGGAAAGGTTCTTTCCAACCCAAATGTCCCTTGTCCTATCTGCTGAGGGCAACTTATTGCTTTGTCAAACCAAGTCAAAACTGAATAACAAATACAGAATCAATGAATACTGAGAAAGAGTTAACAATACTACTAAAAAAAGAAGATGCTATAAAATTATCATCCCTTAATATTGAGATGATGGGTTATTTTTATGCTTTTTCTTGATACTCCTGTATTTTCCTTTTATTCTATGGTAAACAGGAGAAAATAATATCAAAAAATGTAAAAAGGAGGAGGAGGAGGAGGAGGGGGAGAAGAAAAGAAACACATGTTCTAATAACACATTTCATTGTTTGGTTTGCAGCTCTAGTCTTTCCCAAGGATGTGTTATTGCCATCCTACACATAGTCATTCATTCAGTCACTCATTCATGTGGCAAGTTTTTACTGAGCATCTATTATGAACCAATTATTATGCTAGGCACTAGCTTTCAGTGCTGAAAAGATAGCCTGGTCCTGCCAATATAGAGCAAACAGAGCAAGAAATAGATAAATAAGGCCTAGGGTCCTTACCCTTGAGGTTTCCCCAGTTCAGACCCATTGAGTATCCACAGGGTAAGTGCTATGAGAGAGGAAGGCATAGGAAGCTGTAGGAACACAAGAAGGGGAACCTCACCCAGTCAGTATTCATGGAAAGTATTCCTGGAGGACAAAAAGCCTGAACTGACATTGGGAGATATGTAAAATTGATCTGAGAAGGTAAGAGTGGAAAGAGCAGTCTAGGCAGAGAGAACAGAAAGGAACACAGGCCCAAGAAGTTCCGATCTGTCAGCATGTCAAAAGTGATGCTAGAAGAGGGGGTGGATGGCTCTAGAGCAGCATTTCCCAGCAGAACTTTCTGCAGTTATGGAAATGTTCTATGAATCTGCTCTGTCAGTATACACAGGATGAACAAGTCTAGAGATCTAATGTAAAGCACAAAGATTATAGGTAATAAAATTGTACTGTTTATGGGATTCATGTTAAATGAGTAGATTTTAGCTGCTCTTGCTACAAAAATAAAAAAAAAATAGGTAACTATGTGAGATGATGGATATGCTAATTTGCTTCACTGTAGTAACCTTTTAACAGTCTATATATATCCTATAACATCATTTTGTATACCTTAAATATAGATAATAAAATGCACTAACATGTCAGCCACTAGCCATGTATGACTGCTGAGTACTTGAAATATAGCTAATGTGACTAAAGAACCAAAATTTTCATTGTATTTAACTTTAAATACTTTAAATGTATTAGTTCCACATGGGGCTACCAAATTAGACAATGTAGTTCTAGAAGAAAAGTTTCGGGAAGGAACTTCACAGCAAGAGGGGCGATTGCCAGATGCCATGCTTCCATTCAGACATTGGACCTTATTTCTGTGCACCATGGAAAGCCAATGGAGAGCGTTAGTCTGGAAATGATGGTCAGAGTTTTATTCATGGTGAATTGCTGCATCATAGAAGATACATGAAACACAGGGTGCTATTAAACTCGTAAGAGGGAGCCCCAACTCAGGATGAGGTAGGAGGACTTCCTAGAGGAGGAAGCCACACCTGAGCAGAATTTGAAGAAATTAGCAGACATTTGCCAGGTGGCCCCACAGGAAGGATGACAAGAACAGATGTAAAGCACCAGGACAGGATAAAGCGGCCATGCTCAGGGAGGCCCAGGCAGTTCCACCCAACCAAGGTCCAGTTACAGGTGGTAAAGGGGTATGGAATGAGGTTGGGAAGTAAGGTATGAAGGGCCCTGGAAGGAAGTCTGGGTTTTTATTTT